ATGCTTCTATCTTTCTCTCCCTTCCTCCCAAAGAGTTGTATGGCAACGTTGTCTGCGTCTTTTACCATAAGTATTCGCCAATCCCATACTTTTTAAATACTCAACAAAGTTTATGCGCTGCAATGTCGTTCAATATCTCCATAGACATGGTTGCACAAAAAATGCAGTCGCATCGTATACAAATATTGATGTTTTTACTCTTTTTCTCTCTCCTTCGCCATTGAATTGCTTTTTTTTACAACAACACATCATGGAAAATAAATATATAGCAATGTGTGACATTTTAACTAAATAGTTTGATATATCTGAAGACGCCGCACCAGCAAATCCGCGTTTAGATAGCATAAGCATCAATTCAAACCGATTTAATAATAATTGAAGAAATGATATCGTACGTCATCGACGGCGGCAACGATAATAACAACAATAATAACGACGATCAAGATGACGATGAATGCATCCACTCAAGCGATATTGCTGTACACGGTAAAATGAAGACATTTGTCAGAGTACCTATTTGCTGTTGTTGACGTTGCTATTGAACTTTCTTTCGATAAAGTCAAGATAAATTGATAACACAATTTCATTTTCACATTCAGAATTTAAATACTTGAATTTTCTATGAAATCATTTGACTTTAAATAGTTGAAAATGGCGCAACGCACTTGCATTTAAACTCTTATCTACTTCTAGAGGATTTTTTTTCGAATCGATATTCAGCTCACAATGTATATAACAGTTTAAAATGAAAAATCGATTAATATGAAGTGGTTACGTAAATACCAGTTCAAGGAATTCAGAATTGACGATTTTTTTATCGATCTTGGACCCGTCAATTTGAATTAAACGAAACTGGCCCCTCAATACATACATTTTCCATTTCGATTTCCACTCAATACATATTTGATGTGCGTTTGTTGGATCGTTTTTTTTTTGTTTCGGTTTTCATTGAATTGTATTTGTGTTTTATATCCTCGAATAAAGTTCCATGGCATCTCTGCAGAGAATCACCACACTTTTTTTTTTGTATGCTGAATGCTGCAAAGTTCACTGGGATACGAAAGCGATTTGGTCCCGTTTGTGGAAAAACAGCGTTTGATGTTGCCGCTATTGCGTATTGAGAGAACAACAACAAAAAAAAAGATGACTGTCTATAAGGTTGAAAGGACAACAGACAGTTTAAAAAATGCGACAAGTATGATCGAATTGGCAAAGGAAATAAATAAACGTTTTTTGAACGAAAAAAAAAGCCATAACACACACAAACACACGACAAAAGTCGAACGGGAGAAAATCGAAAAGTTGGTGAACGCGGTCGCGCACATCGATCGATGCACAAATACATTCATAAAAACAAAAAGAAAGACGATTAAATTTGTAATCGAACAAAATGGCATTCAATCGCGTATAGTTTCATTGCAAAATGGGATTTATTTATTGATGAATACATTGCATTGCATTGTGAATCATGAGTCATGAGCGAGCTCGATGAAATGAGAGAATATATAGTGTTTGGTTTCACTTCGAATTGGATTCTCGAATGGCTACCGATCGTCATTCGAATGATGATGCCGCGCACTCACTCTCTGTGAACGTGTTTCCCGTTCAATTTCGAAATCATCGTCGCTTTTGTGCTGTCGCTCAACTCTCGTTTGTGTATGCCACAATTTTTTTTCCTCTTCTTCCACAATTTTACATTGTCGCACATATCATTGTACGATTTAACAATGTTGAAAGCCGTCGTCGGTTATGTGATATAATAAAAAAAAGCTTCCAAATAATTTTGTAATTTTATAAAATGTCTCTTTTCTCTCTGTGCGGAGAGACAGCAAGAAAAACAAACGAGCAATGAAGAAGATTTGATATGTGTGCGCATATGCGTTTGGGGTTCTCTATATTTTCCGTGTCATTGAAAACACAGCAAACATTTTTCTCTGTTTTGATTGAGCCGCTCCCATGACCAATCCATCAAAGCTCAATAATGTCTTGGTTTTTCAATCAAATTGACAGATTTTAATTTGCTCTTCATTGATATTGGTGCAAATCATCCAATTCAACTATATCCAATGTCTGGATAGAGAGATTTCAATGTAAAAAGAACACTATCGTTGTCGTAACACTAGCATAACCATGATTTCAAGCTGCGTATTAGTCGAGCGGTTATACATGAAATTTTGTGGTACGTGTTGACAAGTAACATGGATCATAGTCGCCAATTCAAAGCAACTGCAATCGCAGATCACGACCAATGTGAGTGCGATACGGTATTCATTGGAATTGTGATTAGGCTTCGGTATATGACGATCGGTTTTTCTGCCATTGCATTTTGTTGTTTTATTAGTTGACCATTTATGACCGAATAGCGAACATTGTTGCGACACAGAACCAGTTTTTATGTCTGTTTTTGTTATTGATTGATGCTTGAACGCGAATATTCACTTTTCTTCTTCTTCTTTTGTGTGTGTGTGTGTATATATTATGTATGTTCAATTTCAATATTGTTGCAACTCATCTTATTTTCTTTTCATTTGATTCCCATGTCGTTATGTTATTCTATTTTTTCAATCGCCACGATTAGGCATTGCCCATGGAACACACAGAAAACATGTGCTTACTTATTTGGAAATATTCAGCAATGATCGGTCGAGTGGATATCAAGGAAACATACATGATAACAATCATACAACTGCAATGTGATGCGTGAAATCTTCCAACGAAAATTTGTTACTTGCTATCTCATTCACAAAAAAAAAAGACACAGCACACAAACACTCGTCCATGCTAACAATAACGAATCAAATGGCGCCAAACCATTTTCATTCGATTTCATTAGAAAATCTCTCGACCGTCTCAAGACTCCGGTTCGATGCACAGTAGAAAAACAAATTGACAACAACAACAATATTGAACATAAAGACGAACAATCAGCAATAATTAGACGAATTGAAAAGAGATAGAGAGCAAAAAAAGCACGTAAGAACTTGTTTCAAAAGTGTCATTTTTTTATTTTTTGGCAACAACGACTTGTAATATCTTTCTGATGTATACTTGTAGTGCGAGATGACTGAAACGAAATCATTAAAATTTAACGGCCAAATGATTTTGAGCCTTGACATTTTTCTACGCATCAACAAACCGAAAATTGCCGAGAAATCTTACAACATCTCAATTAAAACAGGGTTTGCATAATTTTCTTTGTGAAGTAACCAATTTAGAGAAAAATAAATAAATAAATAAAATATTGGTTCACGTGAACCGGTCACTTGTTGAACTAGTTAGTTGCTTGGTCTCATTTAAAACCATCTAGAGAAACAACAATATTCACTTTTATCCCTTTTCAAGTGGTACTGGGTTGTATAATAATTTTTGTTTATTTTACAGAAATTTAGATTTTTTTGTACCTAATATTTTGAATGAACCATTCTGATTTCCTCAAATCTGTTAAATAAATGCGAAGAAATTGACATTATCATTAATCATTGATTTTTGAGCTAAAACAGTCCGGAGTTAAAAAATAATGACTAAATGCAACAAAAAAGAAAAAAAAGAGTTGAATTTTTTGAATGATTCACATCACATCGAGAATCATATATAATACCATTCCAAAGACGAAAAACCACCAAAAAATTTATAGGTAGAATGATTCTTCAATATGGAATGTAAAGAGAAATTCGAAATTCTATGTGTATGATTACGATGCTGTATGGTTTAATTTTTATTCTTGAAAGGAAAGCGACGATGAGCTCACGAACCTGATAAAGAGTCTCATCATCAACATCCGAATCGTTTCTCTATGTGAGTAGTAACATTTTTGGTTGCTTCTGTAGCGAATGGCCTTTCGGCTCTGTTACCATTGTTAGTGATGTTTTTTTTCTGTTGCTTTTTCTGGCTGTTGTAGCTACTGCTGCTGTAGGCACATACAATATGATCTTGTGTTCTGTTCAATTCTCGCATACGTTTTGCACTTATATACATGTGTCAGAGAGCGAGCGCTCGAGATTCAAATGCGTTGAAGATTACACAGTATACAGACGATGGGATGATACCACGGTATTTTCGAGTATTTTTTTTCTTCTCTCTGCTGCTGCTTCCTTATAACTTTTTCTGTATTCCCCTCTCTCTGTCTCATTCTCAGTCTTCGTCTCTTTCCCTTCCGTTCATCGTGGTTGTGTTTATGTGTGTGTACGCGTATATGTTTGTATTTGTATTAACATTTTATTATATATATGTATATATAGAAAATTCGTAGTGAATTTTTTCTCCTCGGTTTCGGTTTTCATTTCAACCGCGCGCGCTCTGTTCATTTGTACACACATACCGCGCGCACATCGATTGTATGCTTTCCGCTTTATTTTCATTTACTTTTTTTGTTGTTATTTCTTTCTTTTGCCAGGTTATATTTTTTTGGTTTTCGGTTACATGCTGGTGGTGCTGCTGCTGCTGTTTGTATGTTGTCGTCGTGAACTTCTCCTGTTTGTGAAAAATCGTCATGTAAAAAGGGCCTACGTGTGTTTTGATTTGTTTTCACAGACGGATTTTGAATATATGTCGAAGATTTGTATGTGTATGTGTGGCATGTATATGCAACGTTGTGCAATGCTCGCTATTCGGAGTGAGACCGCGTTTCGAGATTGGTTTGTATATATACAATTATACATACGTAAAGAAAGATGAGGATTTTTCCCGGCTTCGTACAAACTGGGACTAGATAAAAATGCAAGCTTATTTTTTGTGTGCACACACAGGATCGTAGGGAGAGTAGGTATAGGGCACGTACGAACACCGTTCGGCACGATGGATATACACAAAAAAAAAACATAATATAAATAAATAAATAAAGGCGAAGAGCGGAGCGACACTGAAGATGTAAAAAAAAAGAATAAAATACACATTCACAGTCCCTTGTGCGCACACACACACATTCATTCATATACACGCGTGTCACACTATAGAACACACGAGGAAAGAATCAGAGATGTTTTTTTGTACCATTTGTACTATTAGTTGAAATTTTGCTTTCGTTTTCGACTGATTGTAACGCGCTCACGGGTGTTAGTATTTTGTATCTGTCGCGCGACGGCCACAAAGTGTTTGCTCTCACTACCGTGTGTTGTGTATTTTCAGTCCAAACATTCACGAATCATGTTCATTTCATGACATGTTCTCGTTGCTCTCTACAACTCGATTTCTTCCTTCTCAAAGACCCAACACTTCGACAAAACCGAAAAACGTGCGCTAATTCCCAAATATTCGAACACAATAATTTTTTTAACCAAGTGAACAGACCAGAAAATTCAAATATATAATCATCAAAGTGTTATTCGTATAATTTTTTTTTGTTTCACTGTCAATCAATCGATTTAGATTTTTATCATTTACGGAAATACTTAAGAATTTTAAAATCGATAAGTGCAGTATTTCTCTGATTTATCGCAAACCATTGCAAAAACTCAGTTGTGCATGTGTGTAATACTGATTACGGTATTTGTTTTGACGTTAAATAACTGTAAATATCGTTACGTTATCGGTATTAAGGATATCACCATTATATTACACGCGATCATCTAAAATATTGTGCGATTTGATACGTCATACGTTTGATAGTGTGTGTATGTTCCCTTTGTCATTCTCTTTCAATTGAAATCGAACGGACCAAGAAGACGAAAATAGTACAAATTTGTGTGTTTTGATGAGGAAAATTAGTTCAGTGCATACATGTGCAAACGGAAACTAGCCACCTTTTAAATCATCATTCACAACAATTTACGGTCAACACTCAGTCATTAGATCGAGACGCACATGGTAACGTTCACACTATTTTTTTTATTATTATTTACAAATAGTTTCTATTGCTTAAGAATTACATATTGTTGAACATTGTTTGTTCGAATGAAAGATTATTTAAATGTGTGGCATAGATAACGTGATTCGATTAATGTTGGTGTATTTAATGTTTTTTTTTTTTAAATGAAATTTAAATATGATGAAATTTTTGTTGGCCGGCTGTGCAATATAATAAATTTAAGATGCAATTATTTATCAAAAACGTGACGTGAAAATTCACAATTAAAATGCGTCGATGTTTGTCTAAGCGTATCATAAATAAACACAACGATGAAAAAAAAACAACCACTTCTTTCGATGCGTGAGCTAAACGCGAAATAAATTTGTTACAGCTACAATGTAAGAGATGAGAGATTTCAAGAGAGAAAAAAAAGCGCAATTAATTAATTTAACTACAAAACAGTGAATTTTAACAGCGCAATTAATGCAAATATGAAACGAAATATGCACACACAAAAAAGAAGATTAAAATGACGCTTTTAGAGAACTGTGTGTACACAAGGGGAGAAAAAAGCATTCAAAATTTACAACGAAACAAAAAAAAAAGAAGCGACGAACAACTTATTTGTGAGAAACGCATCTTTTTGAAATGGTGTCATTGGCTCTAAGAATTGTGTGTACGGTGTCTTGTTTTTTAAATATACTCGTAGATGCATCGAGGGCAAACAATCGGCTCAATATACAGGAAGATAGATAGAGATCGAAAGCCAGAGAGTAAGAGAGTAAGCAGCATATATACATATTTAGAAAGAACTAAAAAAATACACACACTCTGTACATAAAAAAAACGTCAGAGAGACAGAAAACATTATTTCAATTAATTATAGAACAATGGAAATGAAAACGTTTTACGTGCGAATCAAGTGCAATTGGCAACAAATTTTCTGTTGTGCTGAACAGCACATTTGAACGGTGCGAAAAATGCTGCATGCATACCTGGAGTATGCATTGGCTGTAATAATTTGTACAAAATGAACATAAAATGTAAATGATGTAGAAAAGTCTTTTGCGGTGCATAAAACACTGGGCTCTATGTGTGTGGCACCACGAACTAAAAGCGATTGAGTGAACAAGCGAGCGAGTGAGGTCGTATGCCGATGAAAAGCCCACCGATGTTGGTGCTGGTTTCTGAGTGTGAAATCAGCAATTCGTTTAACATAAAATTTCATTGTACGCAGCAAATTAATTAAAACTCACATAATCGCAATTAATTATCTATTTAGTGAAAATTATAATTACAGTGGCAAATGCAACAAACCAAACACCAGTCAATCAAACAGGTTGACAACGATATATATACGTATACACACACACGTCCGAATGGAGCGCGCGCGCAAATCGTGCGCAGTAATCAGATCGATTTCAAATTAGATACATGTAGTTTATGGTGTATGGCCATCGTGTATGAGTTTGGATTATTTATTTATTAAATAGCGTCTTTAGCATTCCAAACACAAATTCACTGCTGGCGGTTGACATACACAAGCCATCCACTTGAAACCATTATGTGTTTTTGTTGTTGTTTAGCAGCACCCAATGTGATATTACCAAATGGTCAGTTTATGATTGGTGCTAAAATGTTGACCACCTCGATGCAACTTACCATAGCATGATGAGCTACATGCATTACCGACCATTCAATCTAATGAGCTCTTTTACGTGCTTGCACTAGATTTGGACAGGTCGCGTATGATTAAAAACTAATTATTGTTTGTGTGTGGCAGTGTGTTTGTGTTTGCGATAGTATTTTCACTGTCCCTAAGCAGTCAAATCAATTCGTATGACTGAACCGTAAGAGTTATAACTGGATTTACGATATCGAAACTTAACCGCACATCGGTTTTTTGCACGCTCTCTTATTATCTCCTTATCTCGAGACTCGTGATTTGAAGCATTTCGAAGAATTGCCGACGATTCTTTTAATTGTTTATCCTTTTTTTAAATAAATCAACTCGCAACGCGTCTTGTTTTTTTTTGTACGTAATTTTGTTGTTTTGTAGTAAACATAGCTATTACGTAAACGATGTTACACAAAAGCGTAACGACTTGAACAGAAAAATCAATTTTCAGAGAATGATTTATGATAACGTGATCGCAATTTATATTGAATGTGAATTGAAAAAAAGCACACACGAAATGATCAATTCCACCGAAAGAAATCGATGTGCGGTAATCATGTTCATCTTTGGCCTTATTAAAATGTCATCTATTCAATATCGTTTGATTCATATTACTTCTTCGTCTCTCTCTCTCTCTCTCTCTCTCTCTCTCTCTCTCTCTCTCTCTCTTCTTTTCATTTGGGATTTGGGCAAGAAAAAACTTTGCCCGTGAGCATCTGTATTGCATTGCATACAAGAAGTCAGGAGGGAAGAAGGCATTGATATTTTTATTGTTTTTGTTTCTATCCACTGCTGTTTTAGCACGAGTTCTGCATCTGGCTCGCGCGTCGTCTTTTCTATTTTGCAATCCAATGGTAATTTCTTGATCCATCAGTATCCGACATATTTATCTCTCTCTCTCTCTCTCTCTCTCTCTCTTTCTCCCGATTGCATTCATTTATCATCACTTTCAGAACGACTTCACTGCCGTTTTACACATTTATATTAATTAACCGAACAATTAACGATGTAGACATAAAAATACGCGATTCAATCGATCTATATCTTAATATTTAATTTATTGCATTATCTTTTGCTATCGATATACATGCAACTGATATTACAAGAAAAACACATACGCACTCACAACGATGACTCCTGAGTTCTTTTTTTACGATTGAAAGAGATAAAGCAATAATTAAAAGTACATTATAACGTGTGTGCTCGAGTATGTGACAAATAAAATGCAACGAGATAATGACAATAAAACATTAATACATTACTTTATACATTTATATGTGTGGAATCTAAATCGAATGAATTTAGATATGAAGAAGACGGCATAAAAGAGACATTTTATCGATTCAATTGAAGAAGAGAGCAAAAAAAATGGGAAGAGTTAATTAAAGCTCTATATATTTATATATGTATGTATTATCGATTAATTGAATCATACTGCTTCAGTAAGTTGAATAAAACTGAAATGAAAAAGCATTTGGCTTGACTCAAATTAATCGAAACCATCAAGTAAATTAAGATAATGTGTTCACATACCTTATTACACTATGATGATTCGAAGTTACACATAAATAAATGCAAATAAATGAATGATATGTATTCATATCTGCAATTAAATTATTAGAAATAAATCGGGAAAAAGGATATTCTCTTATTGTCGTTGACTTAAATGTATTTTTATGTGACAACTAAACCGATGCATCCACGATTCATCCATTTCATTTATAATTTTGTATATATCGATGTTGTGAGTTGATGGGCTATAGTGTAAGTTGATTCTCGCATCTCAATTGAACGCATCAGAGCAAAAACATTAAATATTTTTTGGTGTATGAAAAGTTTTTATACAATTAAATAAACGCCTTCTTGCTCTTAGTTTAATTATATATTGTTTGCTCGCAATTAGTGTTGGCTGCGATCGATCTTTCCTATGAATTACTAGAAAATGAAATCTTAATGGGGACAAAAAGGAGTTAAATTAATTGTAAGAGTAAGAACTCATCTTTCTTTCTTTATTTTATTTTTTTTTTTGCTTTTCTTCGTGTTGGATTTACCACCAAATTTTTTTTACTGCGATAATTTTCTCTGGACAAACATTCATCCAAAATATGTGTTTCTGAGGCGTTCAATTAATCATATGGTAATTCATTCGCCTTATTCGTTATTCCGTTTAACTGTTTGTAATGCAATGAAAGGTTTGCCATTTTTCCATACGCTACACGTTTATGCAATAATTGATGGTAGACAGATTGCAACGACCGATTAGCCGATTTGGATTTCACGAAATGATATGCCATATAAGGTGGTGATCACAATTCGAATCAAAATAGTAAAATTATATGTTTTCGCATTAGATGCGCGCATCAACATTTCGTTGGCATGATTGCAAAATAGATGGCTGAAATGTTTACATTAAGTGAAAAATTCACAGATTTAGTGTTGCTAACCGTATTCCAGTAGTAGAGCTGGAAAAAGAAAGAAAAGCAATCATGAGAAAAAAAATGCCGGGTTGTTTTGGCTGTGTAAAACACTAGTTTTTCGTTTCGAAGGTATTGTGTATCCATTTTTGGCTTTTGATTTCGGTATTTTACGGCGTATGACACAAAAGGCACTCAATTTGATGCGTATTTGTAAATGCTGAAAAATTACGAATTGTTAAAATTCCGATTTTCACATTTGTTTTGGTCAACAACCATGTGAAGAGAGTGAAAAAAACGGAATCCGTCTATTATATGACTTTTATTTGAAGGTTTGCGTTTTTTTTGGTTGCTCAACATTTGGCCGCGACTGATATTTCTCTCTTTCATTCGCATTAAAAAAATCGACAAGACCAAAAACAAAATCTTAAACGGTACATTCTTGTAATTCGCCTTAGTTGTATTCTAAATGTAATGCATCGCATCCAAATTGATGAATTACGGTAACCAGTTCGCATGCGACCATAATTTACCACTGTCCATTTTATACGAAATTATTCGATTTGTTTTCTCAGTCGTTCGCCGTTCGTCGTTCTCTTCATTTCCTTCATTTTGTTTGATTGAAGTTATATCAACTATTTGATGGGCAAAAGCTGCATAGCCCAAACGAATTATTTCAGCCGAATAGCAAGCGGTGAAAATGTTTGTGATTTGGCTTGTTTTTCAATGTTGTTTTTATGTGCATTTATATTGATTTTTTCCTCTTTTGTATTGCCTTCGATCGACTTTTTTGGTAGATATGCTTATATTTATATTATTTGGTATGTACGTTACATGTCGTCCAAGTTGAGCAGCAGGATGTATTCATGCATAATATTCTAAATTTTGTTGAGTTTGTTTCTTGCGCTAGCAGCTCTTCTGCTTCTGTATGTGAACTTATTGATGTGCATGCATTTTGATTTGGTTTGGATTTTGCTACAACAGCAATAAAATTAGCCTTTAAAGCATTGCGTACTAAAAAACAAAGTCAGTTTTTTTTTTTGCTTTTTTCGGGATTGAGATTGATTTAAATTTATTGCTCATGGTTTTTCATGTGCGCTATTTCGCATCTTTTCTTGTGCAGCGGCGCACTCTTGATATTTTTGTAGTTGCTTTCTTTATTCATTTCTCGTTCGTCTGTCAACAGTGTAGATTTATGCAGAAAGTTATACAATTTTTATATTTATTGTCACATAATTTTTGCGCTATTGGCTGGATTTCTTTGTGATTCCAATTTGACATAAAATGATATTGCTACTGCAACCGATGAATACTCATCGATGGCCCGGTCATCTTGGCCAAACACAGACACAGAGAGAGAAATAGAGAGATATGAAGAAAATGAGCCAATACTTGCAACAAGAAGAAAATAATATCCACATTGTTTGTGTTATAAATGGAAAAGACACTAGCCAGTTGAAATGGCTGACAAAAATTATATACACAAAAAAGAGAACCGACATCGTTATGTCGCGCGCATTCTGTTTCTGAGGCCTCTCTCTCTCTCTCTCTTACTCCTTCAGAAGAACGAACAATCCAATGAATCGAATAAAACGTATGAAGGAAAATAAAATGGAATAAAACAGAAATGCATACACTCGCAAACGTATAGCAATAGAGAAGATGTAAGAAATCAGAAAGACGCAAATTGCGTACAGGCTTGCTTACAAATGAAATAGTGTTGTGTTGTTTTAATTTCCATTCATCTTATTTGTACAGAAAATTACACAACTGCATTGTGAATAGCAGAGGCTGAATTTGGCATTGATTATAACTGCCACATTTTATAAACTGATGAATAAAAATTTGTTTCAACAAAAACAAGCCTTTAAAATAATACAATTCATTAAAGTGAATAATTGAAATCTTCAATTGAGTGAAGAATTCTATCAAAATTTAATCACTGTTCACTGGACATAATGCCGCTTCTTCGTTGTCGTGTAAGGTCCGTATACTTTTGTGCTGACTTTTATATTTGGAATGCAGCGCACATTCTGTTCTTTTCCATAACATATATTTTATACGCATCTGAAATGGGATTTGTTTACTGTTGTTGTGCTGCCAACAAATGTGCGATCAATGGAATATGTTCTGTTGAAAGAAAGCACGTTCGCTAAAGAAAAGAAAAAAAAAACGACAATAAAGTAAAATGGAAAATGCCAATGACGACGCGAAGAGCCGAATGATGATGAAAAAAAAATGGCTTGAAAGTAACTTGAATTCATCCAACAAAACAAATCAGAAATAATAGAAGCTGTTCGGTGTTGCTACAATGCAGAATTGTACATATACGCAAAAACATCGTCTTGGTATTTAAATGATTATTTAATTGATGACTTTTATGGCCTTGTGTTATTCCAATGAAATGTTTTGCCATGTGATGAGAGTTATATCGCATCGGCACCGACTCTTGCTTTGACAAATATGTTTTGTATGTGTTTGCGAACGTCAACAATCCAAAGTCGATTTCGACGGTAAACCTACTGATGCACAAAGGTTCTGATCAAAGCATCAGTTCTTTAATTTCTTGTTCTTTTTTCGTTAAAATCCGTATAAAAGTAGTTACGAAATAATCACAATTATCGTCAAATTGAGTTTTTGTTCTTGATCAAAATGCAAAATCGATTGAGGTAGATATTACTCATATTCTGTACAATATAGCTTCTCTTGACCTGTGAATAATCGATGTTGAATTTCCACGCAGAGGAAACTGAATTTTTGTTCGATTTAGTTTTGTTATTTGTTATCGTTTTGTTCAGTTGATGTAGCAAATATTGAAACAAAAATCATCCAAATAGACAAATGCAAGAACTATTCGATAATTTGTAATTTAAAAAACTTTTAAGATTAAATGTACTCATTGAGAACAGTCGAAATGCATCTGTAATAGGTTTTTTGTTTTTAATAAAACATTTCAAATGATCGAATAAACAAAATCAAAAAAGGTGTTTTGCTTTATTTCCTTTCCATGATTAGTCTCTTTCTTTTAACTTTGTATAAAATTGAGAATGTAAGACAAGCAAACGGAAGGCCAAGTTGATTAGATATATTCAGGTGTGTTAAAACTGCATCACATTTCCAATAAAGATCTAGCTCAGTGGAAACTAATCAAATTCTCAGAGTAGGCGTGTGGATACAATAAATTTTCGGAACGGATGAGTTGAATTATAAAAACTTTGGAGAACTTTGTATTTATATCAATCGATAATGGGATATAACATGACGAACAAACAATAACACAAAACCAAAATTGAAAATTAATTCAAAACCTAGTTTACATCATGGCATTTTACTGCGAGTCAAATCGTTCATTTGGGTTTTAACGATATGTAAATGGGAGAAAATTCTTTCGATTACAATGAATTTTTGTGGGCTTCTTTTGAATGGTCATACAATGTTGTGATTCTCTTCATTTAACGGAAATGTTGAATGCAATTATGTATAATGCAAATAACGCTGAAAATTGGTGTTCGTATCATGTCATTTAAATGTAAGATAATATTGTTGAAGATTTATTTGAAAAAAAAAAAAAAAAAAAAAAAAACAAAAAAAAATCTCAAGGCATATTTTTGGTTTGTCTATGTAAATCAATATCAATACGGACCTTCAAAATACATAAATCGCTGAAAGAATGGTGATGGTAAAAGCCATGAATCTTATTGAATGTATGAGAACAAATTCAAAGAATCGAATTGATCACAATGAATGTGAACTATAGACAATAAATGCCGAACATAAATTTACTCTTTAATCAAAAGTTATTCATTGATTCGATTAATTATAACATTGGTGGCAATTAGTGGCTATCATCGATTTAAACGGAGCTAATATTGTTGATTTAAGAGCAAAAAGGGAATACATTGCATTACACTTTTATACTATATACGAATGAAGAAAAACAAATATAAGTAAATCAGCGTGGACTAAAAGTATTGCGCAAAGAATGCACACATGGAGCTACACAGAGAGAGAGAGAACATGTAGTGTTCAACGTTAAGTAGATGTGTATGCTTAAATAGTCGCGTGAATCCAAACAATTCCACATTCTCTCGTCGATTCGTCCGATTTGTTAAGTGTTGTACAGCCTTTTTTTCTTTTTGTTGTTTGCACAAAATCCATCTCTCGCCACCTCATTATATGTACGCACACATATATACATGCATTTCCACTTGAATTAATCGAAATCGGGGCGAACCATGAGATTGTGTGACGAATCACAGTTTTTCATGTTTTTATTGGCAATATACAAAGCAGTGTAAGCACATCACCATCACACCATCATCAACACTTGTTGTGGATTTTAATTTGGTACCCATGTTGTACGGCTCTTGCAGCCAGTCGAAAACATTTAAAAGCCATTTATCAATTTGTACGTAGAGACAACGAAACAATTTCAAAAAAGATTCCAATTGATGTGTGTGTGTGCATTCGTTTATTTATGTGTGAGCGAATCGCAACGCGAGTTTATGTATATAGTTTTAGCGCACAGGAAACTTGAAAGCACACATTTAATTAAAAGTAAATTTCCAATTGAAATGCTATGAATTTTCGATTGAGATGTTTGTTGTTCTTTTTTATTCTTGCTCTTTCTCGCTCTCTTTGAACTGAGAGCGATCAGCAGTTGGCTGACGCGCTTCTGTTATTATCGCTTACGACCATGCGAGATGTCATCGATTAAGTCAAATTTTTGTATACATTTTATTTATTTTAGATTCGAAAATAAAGATTTTCCGGTTTGTTTGTAAAGGCGCGTGCATATTTGCTGTGCCATGTGTTGCGATCGGGTGATGTGCGACCATTGCCATACATTTGTAAACGTATTAAATTGTCCGATAATTGTTTGAGTTGTTTTGATATTTTATTTACAAATTGCATGCGCGCATCTGAAATGAAAAGCATGTCAGCTATGCAAACAGAGAGAAAACGATTGACGCCGAACCAACAACAGCCGACAAGCTTGTCATTTCGTTGGTCGCATTGATTTATCGACGATTTTATTTGTGTCATTTAAAATCCACACAATCATGCGCTAAATCATGAATTCATCATTTTAGATGGCAACACATAAATTAACCCATTAAATTTTTTGACTTTTAAAAGTCAAAGCTTTTTTTTAAATTTATATCCAATCTGCTTCAATCATTAATCCGCGGGGGGTTTCACCTTCTCGTTCAGTGACAATAAAATATTAGTTCAAGTTGTTTATTCTAATTTATTTTTTCATAAAATTTTAAGATTTATTAATTGCAACATTTTATTAATTTTTTTCTCTTTTTCACAGGTTTTTTTTTCGCTAACACAATGGCTCATGATATCTTCATTGTACGAATGTGTGCAAAATATTAATAAGAAGAATAAAAGAAGAAATCGATTTTTGATGTTTTCACAAATGTGCTGAAATTGTAGCCTGAAATGATCGAGAATAAATTTGAGAAAAACTGATGACGGCCTTCAAGTTAGCTAGTTAAATAACAATAGAGCGCGACGATATCGTTGTTGTTTTTCTTTCGATTCTCGCATTTTGCTTTTCTCAACAAAAAATAATTTGCTGCTGCTGTATAAAAAAACGAAATCTTGAATGTGATTATTTGAAGATAAAAGATTTTTTTTAACAAAAATAAAACAAACTAACTTAAAATGCTTAAAGAACTCCCGTCAACTGATAGTTCATCACCAACAGCCGATCATTGCTGTGGTGGTTGTGGTCGTTCCATTCGAGATCGGTGAGTTTCTGTGTGTTCTTTTTTCGAAATGAAATCAGCTTATCTTTGTCATTTATTTCTATAATTATGTTAAAAAAAAATAATTATTATTAATGTTCATTAGTTACAACTTGTTCACGCTTCTCTTTATCGTCAATGTTGTAAAATATATCACAGCAAAAATTAATAATAATTTTTAGATGTGAAATGTAATTAATGTGGTTTTGTTATAGATTTTACCTCCTGGCTGCTGATCGATCGTGGCATGGTTCGTGTTTGCGATGCTTTCGTTGTTCTCAACCGCTTGATTCTGAGCTCAGTTGTTTTGCCCGCGAGGGAAATATTTACTGCAAAGAAGATTATTATCGGTAATTATAGAGACATTTTTTTAAATTTACTTACACATTTTGTTGTGTTTAATTATTTATCTCCGATTCTATGGACAGCAGTTTTTTTTTTCGTTTTGCTTTTCTTGAGTATTAAATACATATCTTTTGAGGGGGAGAATTATATTATACAAAAGTAAAATGGAGATCTTGCACCATCAAAGCCAAATCAAATCCAAGTGACTGAATCACAGAATCGAGAATTAAATAAAAAACCTCTATAGAGGTGAAGAACGAGTGACGAAACCAAAATTTGAAACAAAAAATTTCTGATATCAGTTTCGTGACGAAAATAGTTGGAAGATATTTTTTCTGTGTATTGTGAATATAAACTTACGTTCCAGAAATTTTCTCCTTTTTACTTTGAGTTCATACTGACGCAATGAAGCAACGTTCCGAATTTACAAATGTATATTAAGTTTATATTCACAGTACACAGAAAAAATATCTACCGACTATTTTCAGGGACCGGGTCGCGTATAATTGTATACTAGCATAAAAAACGCAGGCAGTATAAATATACAAAGTATAAACGCAGATGCAACATATCCATTGCTGTCCGTTATGTATGAAGCATGCGAATAAATGTTCGTGTGTGCATTGTATTTATTGAGCGCAGCACAAAGCGAACAGCGACGGATATGTTGCGTCTGCGTTCATACAAAGTATAAATATATGCGACACGGTCCCTGACTATTTTCGTCACGAAATTGATATCAGAAATTTTGTGTTTCAAATTTGGTTCCGTCACTCGTTCCCCACCTCGATAGAGGTTTTTTATTTGATATCAATTGTTTTGTAAGCGCTATTTTCCAAATCAAAGATTCAAGACTCATGAGTTTGAATCTTTTTCAAATATATTTTGGGATCAAAATGATATAAAATAAAATGTCTTACATCCGTAAGATGAACTTTTCCGCACTGTGATCCACAACATGCATTTATTACGTATCTTTTACCTTAAATATGAATTCATGAGAAAACTGAATCTGATATAAGTTTTGCGATACAAATAATTTTTGAACGACTTTTCAATGCCTGTATGATATCGTAATCATGTGAAAATTTGCAGATGTTATTTTTTCACAAAAAGCTAACATTCTGAAAGTTTGAAGAAATTTCAATACAATTGAGTTTTCATACAAAATTTTCGTTTTTGAGCAAAAAATCCAAAATTTTGTTCGGGAGGTACCCATAATTTGCATTGAAATCTCTTCAAACTCTCGAAATGTTATTTTTGCGTGAAAAAAATAACCTGTGCAAAGTTTCAGCTCATTACGATATGATACACCATGCCTGTATCATTAAAAAATCAAATTTTTTTGAAATTTTTGTATGAAAAGTGTGTCGAAAATCATTTGTATCGCAAAACTAACGACATATTGGGTTTTCTCGTACCCAAAAGTGTGTTTTTGAGTGTTTAGGAATACATTAAATATCACTTTTGGAAGAAAAATTGAATTTTTCCTATGGATGAAACCAAAGTCGCTCAAAATCTAATAGTTTCTATTCCTCGGCACTCATCCTGTGAAGTCAGATTTTGAATTACTTTTCTTGTTTGAAAGTTATCGTGTTAACAAATTTTTGCGTACAGGGTACAGGATACAGGGTACAGGGTACCACGCACATACATTCGGACATTGAAAAATTGACTGATTCGTGTTCCCGGGCTCCTAAAACACCCAGAAAACATGTTTTGTGAGGGTGTTAATTTTTCGACCGATTCCAATACTTTACCTTACACACTGGGTGTGTGCGGAAAAGTAATATGGTTCATAATGGGGAAATGTGGTTTTTTCTGTGGTATGCATATTTTTTTATCTTTGACTTGGGGCTTAAATTGATGAAATATATGCAGTCTTTTTCGAGAAAATGTCCGTTATGTGACCGACCAGACGGTCACATTTTGGTTTTTAGCCAATTTGGCCACTCCCACATGAAATTTTTAAGTCGCAATTGGCACCATTCGATAGCTTACTTTAAGACCTTTCCAACGAATATGCATATGTCCTGGGTATGCCAAGTATAGGTGCCACAGCGACGGTATGGAAAAATGGCAATTTTTGGCCATATTTGCACTACCAAAGACCATATATTGAAAACAAGAATTTTCTGGGATATAAGCTATGCGGCGTTTTATAGCTTAGATTTTGGCTAAAGATCGGTGAAATTTTCAATGCACCAAGTTAGGCTGGTTTTGGAGGTAATGGCCGTTATGTGTCCGGCCGAATGGCAACTTTTTGAAATTTTTAAACCAAAAATGGTACCATTCCATAGCTCACTTCAAGACCTTTCCAACGAGGTGATATGTCCGGGGTGTTTCAATTGGATGTGCCTCAATCACAGAAAGTTTCAAAAAGATCAGAAACAAGTACGAAAAATCGCGGACAGACAGATATTCAAAATTTTTAAAGGAAAATCATAAGAAATTTTTAAAATAATAAATTTTTCGAACGGATCGATTGATTTCGACGTTTGAGATATCGATAGAGAGATATTGAGCTCTAGAATCAGAATATCGATGATTTTGGGGTCAAAGTCCTCATTTAGTGCCGTAGAACTGAATTTTGATCCTTTTCTTGAAAGGACCATATTTTGAAGATAGGTAGATCGATTTTCAAACTTTGATATGTTTTCTTGATCTATGGCCCAAGGGCTTTCCAACCATACTTCAATCGCGGCAAAAAGCCTTCTTGGTTAGGATTTGGAAATCATTTGGACATTACGTGTATATATAGCGAGTCAACTTTTCAATACACCAATGTGGTTTCGTCACTCGTGCGAACTGCCGTCCGCTGTGCTATGATATATAAATCAATAAAATAAACATTTCATTTTTGATTGAATGTCACTCACTCTTGGTAAACAATTTTTATTTACATTCCAAGTGGTCAGAAACATAAATGGGAAGTTTGTCGGTTGACTTATTTCATTTATTATTTTTTTTTTTCTCTATTTACATTCGAAGGAAATGAATGACATCATCAGTTTATGTTATGTTGATGTGTGCATATCATTTCAAAGAAAGTAGAAAAGTGTCAAAACCAAATGTCTCTCTCTCACATGGGAAATGCATTGAGTAAATGAAAATATAATTCATGTATGTAGTGCTGTACGTTTGTGGTCAAGTAGTAGTACTCATTACATACATGCCGGTCTGAGGCTTGTATGAACACAAATATGTCAACATTTTGACCAATTTAAAGTTCTTTCCTTTATGACGAAAACGTCAGAAAAATCGGTCAGGCAAAGCGATTAAAGAAGAATTTCACTTAGCAACGCAACGGACCGCGGAGTGTGGTTGCATGAAAATGCGATTTGTTCCCTTTATGATTATGATAACAATGTGAACCAAACGAAAATTAAACAAATTACAATAATAATTTGTGCAAAAATCGGAAATGCAACTCCCAAGCTTCGTTTTACATTGGATTTGTTGTTAATTGTTGACTGTTTTCTTTAAATGGTTCGAAATCGATGGCAAAAATGTCATATTGACTTTATATGCTGCCATTTTGCAGGTGTAGTTTTTGAAAACGTGAAGCCGTAAACAAAAAAAAATGATTCTGGTCCTCGGCTCGATCGATAACATAACTCAATTTCATTTGATGTGTATCTTTTTTTAATTTCAAACCGTTCGTTGTTGCCATAGTTTCATGGATTCAGCTCCAACGTAAACATTGTTATATTTTTGTATGATGATTTCGAAACGTGCACAAAATGAATACACACAGCTCTGAAAAAGGGCGAACCAGAACAAATCATGAGCTTTTTTAATCCTCTGTATAAAATTGTGTTGTTCTGACAACTGAACTTTGTTTCCTCGTTAGAGAGATTTGTTTGGGAGACAAACTTTTTGAGCCGGGACTGAAATGGCAAAAGGAACAATAACAACGACGAAGGAAAATGGAACGAGAATGTGCGAGAACATATAAAAAGCATCGGGCAAATAGGTAGTGAACAATTCAAAAAATGTTTCAACAAAAAGAAGTCAGCGACAAACAAACACGAATCGCGCAAGACGCGATGGGTGAAAAAAGACAAAAAAAACGTAACATTAAAAACACAAAACGAAAAAAAAGAGAATAAATAAAAGAAATAACAGAAACGGGAAGAAATCGTCGCTACGAAAATGTTAAATGCGCTTAGGTAACGAGCACAAATACAAGCGTTGTGCATTCATTTCATCTTTTCTCGCATTGTCGTATTTCAGGTGCGCGCTCTCTTTCTCCCATCTTTTTCACTCTTCCACCGAATCGAACGTAGACGTATTTCATACGAATTCGGTCGTTTTACTTGGCAGTTTTTCGCTGCTGATAATCGAAAATGTGCGTGAGTGTTTGTGCTTGTTGTTTTTTTATTTTTATTTATATTTTTCTGAAATGCGACTAATGCGCTCCATGTCGATGAGATAAAGAATGTTTGTTCCTTCGAAAATTTTCTTGTTCGCTTCCATGCTTTGCCATACATTTTACGCACGTAAACACTTTGTGTTTTTGTGATACTTGAAAAATGTCCGCCGATTATTATTTCGGAAATTTTGTTGTAAAAATCACACAGTGAATCCGCCCTGCCTGATAAAGTTTCTGTCATTTTTTTTCGCACTGCTGAATATTACAATTTTTTGTGTATGTGTGTGTATCGAAATCTTGCTCCAATAGCGAAATCGTACGGAACGAGCACTTTTTTGTGCATAAAATCTTCAATAACCTCTCGTTTTCATTTTTCTCTCATCCAGCTTTTCTCTCCTGTTGCATTTGTTATTCCAAGAGTTGCATTTCGATGATTTTGTTTTCTTTTTTTCGCAACGTACAAAACAATAAAATTATAAAAATTCTCTCTTTTCAATACAATACAAACGGTCTCAAGATAACAAAAAAAAATCCATACATACGTTGAACGCGAGAGAAAAAAAAGCGTCTACATTCAAAAGGATAAATAATTTTCTATGCATTGTTTATTATCCACATGTTGGTTGGCAGGCTTGCCTTTTCGCTAGTATTTTCATTCTTTTCGCACTTGTCTTTTGTGTACGCTTGCCATATAACATTTCTTCATCTTCTTTTTGCCAGATTGGTTACAAACAAAATGGCCAACGTCAAAATAAACGTGAAAAATATAAAAAAATTTAAAATCGAATACAAAAGACATAAAATAAATATAGTAAAACACATGGAAAATCGAGCTGAGAGAGAAAGGGACTAACACATTTGAAACGAAAAACAATATTTGATCAGAATAATAATGTGTACACACGAATTCAACCGATAGATTGGAATATGTTCAAAATGTACAACAAAAAACACAATGCTCAATGCATAACCAATACATAAAATAACAGAGTTGGGCAACGCTGTTACGCCATCAAATGAATCTCTTTCTTGAAAATTTTCGTTTGCAGCGAAGAAATGCAATGGACTGAATTGAAAAGAATCACTATCAATAAATTTTCAGGAGAAATGGTGCGCAGCACATGTATTACAAAAGTATAATATTTGCAGGCTCCAACTCTGTTGGAAATTTGAATGAAAAACGACAGATAAAATATATAAACAAAAATGTAGCAAAGGAGGGAGAATGGACATGAAGCAGTGTGACATTTTGTGCAAAAAAAAAATGGGAACGCTAAAATGCAACGAATAATGAATAACAAATCAAGGAATAAGTAAAACAGTTGCACACACAAATGTATATTATCAGCGAGAAAAACAATGCTAAAATGAAAATTATACGTTGCCATTGTCCGGTTTTCATCTGAATTGAATATTACATTTCGGGAATTTCCATTATTCATGAATTTAACATATAGAGATAGAGAGAGCATTCAAAATGCACTTGAAGACGAAACATGGAAAACGAAGTGACGCAGTACGCATATGTTCAATATATCGAGAGAGAGAGAGAGAGAGAGAGAGAGAGAGAGAGAGAGAGAGAGAGAGAGAAAATTCAATGGAAACAACCTTTTATAATAATTCGATAATATTCAACACGGATTACGCGTTCGAATTTCCATTATGATATGTTTATCTCTTCCACTACGAAATGTTGATAATTTATTGTGATTTGTAAACAAAAAACTCTTTAATGCCGTCGAAAATTCGGTTGGTAATCAAATTATTTCAGATATGATCGTTGAAAATGTGTAAAAAGTATAACAATAGCTCGGACTACCTTTCAAACTCTTTCAGCCCCATAATTAATTGCAGTTGCATTTGGAAATCGTTGGTTAACACCATAAAAGTGTTTATCGCTCACTCTAATTATCATGTTTCAAAAATAATGCTCGATGTTTGCCATTCACCTTTTTTTTCTCTATCTATAACAATGATATTGACGCGCTTTCTGATGTCCAATGAATGAATATGATTGCCTGTACAAAATCACAATAGACAGAAAAAAAAATCAATCGGTTTTTTCTTTCTTGAAAAATGAACAGTAGCATACCCATCAAAAATGTGTGCATATGCGTGTGTGTTTTGGTTGATTCATTAAAAATGTTTTCTGCTTTCTATTGCTTCGAAAAAGACGATAAAAGATTCACATTCAAAGCTTTCATTCGACCTACACATACAGAAAACAATAATTTTATTTCTTTCGGGTGATGTGGATATTGTGTTTGCTATCATAATACACAGCAATAAACCCCTCACAAATGTAACACAATCAAAAATTTCATTCCCACTATTGAGTGCGGCATACTATAAACAATAAATATATTTTATTAGAATGAATCAAGCGCCTGGGCCATAATCAAGCTCTCAAATCCAATGATGTAACTTATTGATCATCATCATTTTCTTTCTTTTTTTTATCATTTTATGAAGCGAAACGGTGTTTGAAATTACTTGTGCTTCCTACAGCGAATAAACGTATCAATTTAGCTTATTTACCAACACACATACATAAAATCGACTCTAGTATAAATTGGTTTGGATTCAGCTTGGCACAAATGTGGTTTTCTTTTGTGCTAAACTGGTGGGTGTTTGATATTCAATTTTTAATTCATTGCTTTTGATTTTGAATATGTTTTTTTTTCTTCTCTTTTGAAATTTATGAATTCATAAATAAATTCAAATTCATAACCAATTAGTAGTTGTAATGAAATCTCTCTACATATCTAGAAATTTGGCAGTTGATAGTTGGATATGTAATGTCTTGATTCCAATAAGATGATATTCGATATGATCGATATTGGGCAGGTGCATTGTGATATGAAATTCTTGAAGTGAATGCGGTGCGACATGGATCGTTCGAAAAAGCATTCATAAGTTGAATAAATCACTGAAATTCGTTTCAATCAAAGGAAGTTCAAATCATTTCTCAATGGGAAATCGATGTCAAATTGTTGGATGTTTTGACATTTCTTTGCGTCATTTGCATTTTCGAAATCGTGGGCTATTTTTATGATTTAAAATTGGAATAACAAATTTGTGTCGTTATGTTGTCGATTTTTTTTTTGATCGGCATTGCCATCGATCGATTGTAGCGGCATTTTGTTGCTTGCAGATGCTGCCTCCTCTTCGAACCCAACGCATTTTTGTTCGGTCTTTATTTTATCGCTGCGCAAATGTACAATATATACTTTAGTTTTGCTCATTTTTCGTCTTATTATTTTTATTTTGTATTTATGGACATTTTCAGCGAAAAAAAAAAACAAGAGATATTCTTTCGTGATTCGTCCATTTTCCATTTCATTATTTTTTATTATCATCATCGATTATTTGGTCATGGGTTCTTATTCGTTCGTGTACTCTTCCCTTGATCTTGGCTTGTTTTCTTCACTTTTCTCTACGCGCTGTTCATATTAATCGCTGATTGTGTGGATAATATCTTCTGCTGTTTAATACAATTTTTGCCTGACTCCTTTTTCTTTCTCTCTCTCTCTCTCTCTCTCTCTCTCTCTCTCTCTCTCTCTCTGTTGTTGTTATTTGTAGATTGTTTTCATCACGACGATGTGCTCGATGTGGTACCGGGCTCAGTTCATCAGAATTGGTAATGCGTGCACGAGATTTGGTGTTTCATGTTGGCTGTTTTTGCTGCATACTTTGTGGCATTCATTTGAGTGCCGGCGATACAGCAGCTGTACGAGAAGGACGCGTATTTTGCAGTGAACATTATGATGCTGATGTTTTGAGGTAAATACTTGAATTTTCGTTATGGAATTTTTGTTTTTGTTTTTCTTGTTTCTGTTACCTTTGTTTGCCTCTTATTTTGAATTGTTTTATTTGGTTTCATGTCACACAATCTGTTTAGCTTCAATTCAGTGTTTTTTTTTTCTCTGTTGAATCTTAAAATTTATTTCATGAAATCAACTAATAACGGTACCGCATCAATTCAGTGAATGCCCTTGGTTTTTGGTTCCTTCGTTTATTCATTCATTGAATCAATTTTTATTGCCTCTTTGTCGTTGTTGTTGTCTTTTTTTTTGTGTTTGTCAACTAATTTTTATCCATTGTTTTTATTTTCCTTTTTATATATGTGTTCAGCGAGTCGAATTCACTATCGCCACCATTTTTTACGGGTACCACCAATGGTACTGCACAAAAGGGTCGACCACGAAAACGCAAACTAATGATAAATCACCATCAAAATGATCCTCTTAATTTAGGAACGGCAATGCAAATGGGTACGTACGATTATTTTTTTCTTTCTTCATAATTGTGTTTGTTGACTTCCTTTGCCAATTTAAATTTTCTCACCGACTTTTTGTTTCTCTTTTGGCGTAATTCTTAATCCTCGTGCTTGTTGTTGTTGTTGTTGTTTTTTTCTCATGTGTTTGCGCAATTTCAAGCAGTAAACAATAACCAAAATTAGCCAATTTCTAGTGCGTTATGATGACAAACAATAGGAAAAACATGCATTGTATATATTCGTGCAACTATCAGTCGAAAAAATCAAACATTTTGTTGTTGTTCAACTCTCTTCAGCTAGTTCATTAAGAAGCTGCATTGAAATGGATGCTGTTAAAGTTACGAGTATGTACTCGAGTATGGTGTGTATGTGTGTGTGTGTGTTGCAACAAATAGGGGCTTATTTATAGAGACACTCTCAGCCACCCGTAAAATGCCAAACGAATAATTTTTTGTTTAGGTCGTTCTCTTTTCTCTCTCTCTTATTTTTCACTTAGCGCAACAGAAAAGAATTGAATCGACAACTTTGGCCATGCGCTACATATAAAATTTTGTTCATATTATTAGATGACTACGGAAACGTGACTTCTTTGCAGATTAATTTCATCACTTTTATTCCATGTTTATGTTAGTTGGTGTTCGTGTTTTCATCTGTTCAGTTTCTTGTTCTTCAAAAACATCAAACAATGGATAAAATCGGGAGAAAAAAGAGAGAAAAAGTACGCGGCGCGAGATGATGAAGATTAACGGCAAACTTTTTTTTTGCAACAGCAAGCAAACATGTCGAAAAAGAGAGCGACAAGAAATAAGATCCTTTTCATTTTTGCCAGTCAAGGATGGATAAAAATGAAACTTCATGATAATTCCAGCAGTTATCTAGAAGGGAGGCTTATGAAATGTGGGCTCTGTGCCATATTGTTTTTATTTATTTACTATTTATGAACAGAAGATCACGTCTATTGCATACTATAGCATTTTGTGCTCCTCTTCAACGAAATGCTAACTACGACTTGCTGTGAGAATGAAGAAAAAAATGCTTCAGCTGATGATTCAAAAATACACACGCACACCCACAAAACTATATTGAAAAAATCGATTAAACATATAATACATATTAAAAGAATCTACTTCAGTTTTTCGCCATAAATTTCCTTTATTTTCACCAATAACATTCACTCGGTTATTTAAATGTAAAAACAAACTGTTTGAGAGCTTCATCAACTCAACACCATACGAAATGCATGGCTGTGCATCCAGCGGCGATTGATTTTCATTTGATTACCGCATTACTGTTTTGTGGTCCGTTTTAATTCCTGGATATTCTCTATTTTGGTTTGAATTGTATTTTATAGTGTGGCCTGAGCAAAACGTTGTATGGTTCATTCAGTTAAGTATATCATGGTCGAATTTTGCTTCTGTGCAAAGGCACCTATCCCAGCAATTTTTGAACAACAACATCAGCCAATATTCTTCGACAAGAATCATTGTCGTTCGTTACTTTTGCTTTTCTTTTCTCGTGGCTCGTTCGGCCAATTGTTGGTTTTTAGGCTGTTCGTATTTTGACATTGGTCGAATTTTTTTTGCCATTTCGTATCTGCTTTTCGATGATTCTTTTTTCTCGTTTTTGTTTCGTTGAATGTTTTCAATTTTAGATAATGACAAAATTCTAAGAATTGTCAATACATTTACTGTTTTTCGATAAAAAAAATATGTTGTACGTACAGTTTTTTTGTTGTCCGATTCGGTCTCGTTCGGTTTGCACACAGAGTGTGTGTGCATTGGATTGAATCAAAATACAATATTGTCGCATATCGGTTGTGTTTTTTTTTTTTTCATTTGAAAGTCTTTTTTGTCACCGAGCGTATCACTATCGCCCATGTAGTGCGGTAGCGTATTAGTGAAGGAGAAAAAAAAACAGACAAAACGCATCGAATATATTATTGGTTTCGTTTGGAACAGCACAAGGAGTTTCTTATTTTATCATCATCGCTTCGTGTGCTTTTTTTCTCGCAATATTCTCTTTCTGTCTATATCTCGTGGCTATTATTTCGTTTCTTACATTGCTTGCTGCTGCTGCTGTTGATGTAGCAAGTATTGTTCTCTTTTAGCTAACTTTATAATATACTTATTCCTCACGCGATTATTGTGTTTTCAGTTTTGTTATCGATAAATTTCCGTCTTAACACTGAATGCAATGAGAGACCGCGAACGAAATACTAAGCAACAAAAACGTATGAAAATGAGTGAAAAAAGATGCCGATCTGTATAAAAAAGAACAGCATCCAGAGCAAAAGCAATACAAAATAAAAAACAAGATGAATATTTTGTGAGTGCGCGCGTGAATATGTTTTTGAATCCGTGCCGTTTCTCTCCTCCTCCTCCTCCTCCTCCTCCTCCCCTCCTCCCCCTCCTCCTCCTTGGTTTAAATGGAACTGCGCATGCTGTTGAAACATTTTGTTTCAGGATATAATGATATCTTACTTTTTCAACAGTCTTTACTTCATTTTTTTTAATTCTTTCTCCATATCTTACTCTGTGATTGTACTCACGAAGCGTGAAGTTTTTCGTTTCATTTCATTTTGTTGTTGAATTTTCTGTTGTGCATAGTCTTTAATGGATTCCATATTGCACATAAACGGTGCGCGGTGCGGGGCATTGCAATATATTCGCAGTGAACTGCTTGTTTTACCCGAATCGAATATATATACGGCAAATGGCCGATCGAACGAAATTATGTGGATCGAAAAAAGGGAAGCGATAAATTTTGTAACACTTTCATTCGAAAATGGTCGGTTTCATGTTCGAAAAATCAATGTTGATGTACATTACAAAATCACAGTTTTCTCACTCACAATTGAGCAACTGTAATTGCTGCTGTTCCTGATTTTTTGAAACGATAATGATTCTTTTCTCTGTGTTTTTTTGTTATTATTTTTGAAGTGCACACATTTTATACTATTACATTATTTTCGTGTGACAAATGTCAAAGGCAAAAATGTCCAATGTCGCATTGAAAGTGTGACGTTTTATCGTATTGTTTTTTTTTTTTTATACACGAATACCATTCAAGTATCTTCATTCGAACCCGTATTCACATTGATGTTCTTGATTTTGTAGTGGGAGCGCCAATAAATACGATATGTTTTTTTCATTGCTGTTGATGCTGTAGCCACTGAATGTTTTTCCATTCTTGAAAGTGGATACTTGTGTTAAATTTTTATAGAAGCAGTTTTTTTGTATTTTATTTGCTTTTCATTTTCAATGGAATCATTTTTTTAATACCATTTACTGATCAATTTTAGTACAAATCATAACAATAGAAATGTGAAACAACATTTACCATTTCAATTGTTATCGATTCAATGGCCAAAGAGCGAAAGAAATATGCAAATGCATTGTTAAATAACAAATAATAATAAATGCATATATTAATAATGTGAGTGTTACTCTCGACACTAATAGGAAATAAACACTCGTAAACACTCAAAAAATTGGTGAATTTCCATTGTTGATCCTGTAGCCCGAAAATGAATCTGTATAACTTTTTGCCTCAATCAACGAGAGAGATATATTGTTTGATTGTTTTTTTTTCTGTGTTTCCCTCTTTTCACATATAGATTTGATGCACACGGATTTACAGACAACGTCATTGGATCTGAACTATGACGGTAGTCAATCGCCTGGCTCTGGCGGTAGTTTAACGCAACAAGCGCGCAATAAACGGATGCGAACCTCATTCAAACACCATCAATTGCGAACGATGAAATCGTATTTTGCCATTAATCAAAATCCGGACGCAAAGGATCTTAAACAATTGTCACAAAAAACGGGTCTGTCGAAACGTGTTCTCCAGGTAATTGAGCAATCTTTGTAATTAGACGGTTGAGAGATAAAAACACACACCACAACGGTGTGCGCATTCTTTGCCGATGAGAATCGAGACCGAGGGAGATCGATCATTAATGATTGGTATTTAACTTCGTTCTCTCTCTCTTTTTCGTTTCGTCTTGATGTCTCATAGGTGTGGTTCCAAAATGCACGTGCAAAGTGGCGACGGAATGTGATGAGGCATGATGGCAACCAAACGGGCAATCCAACGTCTGGTACACCGTTAACACCTTTGACTATTGGCGGACCGCCAAGTGTTCAATCGACATCCAGTAGTAACATTGATACATCCGGAATGACACCATCTCATGCACTCGAAGAGATGCACCATTTAACATTTTCTGAGCTTTATTAATCCAATTGTGTTGCGTACAGGCGCCGTACATTGCATCGTCCATTCGTCCAACAATACAACATTTTATGCGACTCAAATCGCTAATTCCAACACATAAAAGAATTACAAAAAAAAACAAACTATTCCTATATCAACACAACAAACAAAAGAAAAATCTAATACTAAAACTATTTAATTATGAGTATGTGTAAGTGTACATTTATAACTGTAATTAAAAGGAAAAAAAAAACAAAATATGCGTATTTTTTGCATTAGGTATTTAAAAGAATAAACTAGCACATTAATGGCAACAAAATGGTTAGTATTGTGTTTAAATTAGAGTTTTGTGTACACCACAGCGTGTTTGAATATTGAAAACACACACAAAGAGATAAAGAAGAAAACATAAACAGTAAAAAGAAATTTACAGAATACTACAAATGTGAATCCCTAAGTAATTTATTTATTTTTAAGTTTTCAAATTATAAAAGCCATATGCAAACGATATTGACGTTGCAATGACTTTTTTTTGGTTTGGTATTAAATATTAGCAAAAAAAGAAACACAAATATATTCAACATTTGTCCTAGTGACGAGTGATGAAGAAAGTACATTGTATGAATTGATAAGTATTGCAAATGTGAAAAATACTAAACAAAAACTGAAATAAAAAAAAGCTTTGTCTGATTGAATATATCGGGTGCACGAAGCAGAAATATACAATATCTATTCCAAGTTATGTTGCATTTATTTTTTCATTTTTATTTAGACATAGTATGGCGAGATGAAGCAAAACAAACAGCTTCCAACGCAAAAATCGGTATGGATCGCACGAATTAAAAACAAAATCATTCAACTGAGACATCATTACACCCACACCCGAAACATTGGATTGTTCTCAGACACCGTGTGCTGTTTTTTTTTTTTGCTTTCACCCACGAACACAAACAGTTTTTTTTTTGCACGTTCACTTTTACAAATTTATCATAAGTTCAAGATTTAAAACTGTACAAACAATATGCTAATGATCATTTTTTGACTAGGATATTTTCGATTACAGTCAGGTTTTTTGTTACAAAGAAAACAACGTTGGTCAGCTCACGCGCACCGTCCCGCTCCCACCGTTTTGTTCTTATCTATTTAGTCTACTTCCTATGCAACATCTTGCACACACATTTTGCGGTATTGAAAAAATGACCAAGTGTAAGAAGGACAGAGAAAAAGAAAATGTAAGCGACAGCAAGAAAAAGGGAGAGAAGAAATCTTGCGCTTCACATCGTGCAAAACAATTTCAAGTCGGAATAAGGAGTCGAAATAGGTGGCCAATTAAAATTGAGAAATTTAAAACGTCGATGAAACACTGACGAAATGAATGTATATATAGATAAAAAAAATATTGAGTAAAAAGTGTGCAATAACGATAACACAAGATCGTTCGCCACAACAAAACAAGCAATTCTACAAAAATATTGTCACCTACTTTCAATTGGCAGTTTTTTTTATTCATTCTGATCTCGTGTTTGCAACTAGTGGAAAAACAAATCGCATAACAAAGAAAAACGTGTGCGAGTACAATGTGAAACCCAAAGTGATAATCACGGGTGAACAAGAGACAGAGAAATGGCAATTCAGTATGCCTTTTTGTTCATTTGAAAACAAAACAGCAGCCAGGCTGATGTAAAATAAAACGCAGACAGAAAATTCATTAGAAATATCGATCGATACGTGCGCGAAACGAGAAAAAAACAACAACAACATCCAGCGCATTGATCTAAACTGAAAACTATGTGTGACTTTGCCACACATAAATCACTGTAATCACTACAATTTGAACTAAAATCAAAGCCAACTCTACACGAATTGGTAGTACTAGTTGCAATCATTCTCTTTTCTTTTTCATTCATTCTCCCTCTGCGTGTGATACAGATGGGTGTCTTTCTCTTTCTATCTTTTCTGTTGCTCATAATCGCATTCACCGGTGTGAAAATCAACTGACCTTCTCTCATCTGCTTCAGCTCAATAATCTCATATTGGAAGTTGGAACAGCGCGCGCGCTGAATGCAAAACATACACCGTTGTGTTAAAATTGAATTTCCTGGTTTCTCGGAAACTCTTATATTGACATTGTTTTAATCGATTTGAATATATGAGCGACAAAAATTTCAACGTTTCTTCACAAGATTCTTCATTGAAAGAGAAAGAGAGAGAGAGAGAGAGAGAGAGAGAGAGAGAGAGAGAGAGAGAGA